ATCTTATTAACCATTAACCGAAGCAGGTAGGTAGACAAACCGCAGCAGTCTACACAGCATTATGTATCACACGGACAGGATAACCAATATCAATTAAATTGTTGGTAGTGGTTTCTTGCATTTTGAAGTACAAATTATTCTTTCCTTTTCTCCTCTTTTCAGCGAAGTTCGTATTTGTATTATCTGCTGATATAGCTATAATCTACCTTTCCAAGATCAAACTTCTTCAACACTTCTAACACAAAAAGTTCCGAAATTAACTAATAAAACCTTCACCTTAACTCCTTTTTCTGCACGATAATATCTCGCGACTAGAGGCGCTAGCTTTTTGTTAGATGCATCGATTAATACTGATATGAAACAAGCTTCTCTCGGTTTTTCGTTAATCCGCTCTGTCACAAATGACGCATTAACATTACTGATTATTGTACCGCACTTTGTTTGAAAATATCTGATTTTATCGGTAAAAATTTTTTAAGATGGCAGTCCACGGATTTAATTAAAGCACTGCCGTGCGATAAGAAAATGTCACCTCCTTTGCTGCCAGTGATAACTGTTTTTCCATTTCAAATTTGAGAAATTACAGTTATTACTCCCTTAAGCTAAGGAGTAAATTTGTACATATTGTAATATTTTGTAAAAACTCCACTTTTTATCTTGAAAATAAAAGCTGACGTACACTCCATGAGTCTCCCCTTTCACCATCTTTCCTATCTCACTTTTATTTCACCTTCATCTTTACTCTACTACTTTTCTTTAATTTTCACCCTCGGGCAATACCCATGGGTAGTCCCGAGTCTTCATCCCCTTTCCGCTAAAAATGTAATAAATGTATTTGCCAGAGACTTCTGTACTTGATCAATGAAGGTTAAGCAATAGAAAATTGCCATTTCTATTGTATACAGTATTTATGCAATATCTGAAGTCTTTAAAGTTGTCATCTTAATTGGTTTAAGGAAAAATAATGACAAATTGTTTTTCCTTGTTCGCTTCTAATTTCTGTTATGAAAACCAAAGTCGCGTGACAGTTCCTATACACCTATTGTATTATGACGTCAACCTTAATTGTGGCTTGTTAACTTACTGAAAAATCCGACCTCTATATCCGTGGGCGGATGGCATCTACTGCCATTTTGAGAGACCCGAGTTTTGATTCGTGTTGGAATATCAGACATTTTGACAGGGGAGATTTGTCCCGGATGCGTCGAGGGACAAATCTCACCACCCAGCTGCCCCATTGCGGTCGTGGCAGTGTGATTACGGCCTGGAAAATAAAGCATTCTTAATATTAAGAAAGGAATGTTTAAAAATAAAAAAATATGTCTACATCACTTGACGTTTCACATAAAGATGACACTATGAATGTCGTTAGTCAATTTATTTTTGTGTGGCAAATCGTGTAACGTAAAAAATATTCCTGGAAGATGAGTGTGTGTGAATGATAAAGTTCTCTTCAATGTATTGACAAATATATGTGTTAAAGTCGACATTTAAAAAAACTATATATATATATATATAGGCTATATATAAGAAAGATTTTACTGTTTATAAGTACTGTATATAGTAGCCTACAATAGTACACTTTGTCTTTTCGTACTGATGCAATACTATATTTTATAGTATTGCATCAGTACAAGTTGACCAAGTTGATTCGATGAGAACCTACTGTCTCGTCGAGTCAACGTCTTCGGAGTATCTGCAGCAAATCAAATCCATTTAAAAATTCGATATTGTATTTTCTGCCGAGTTCTTAAAATTGATTTGACTTCACAGTTTTATTCTACGACGTAAAAGTTTTTTGTTGACTAACTTATAGGAATTAGCTTAGTGTCTCTGTTCTCATCAGTTCGTAGCAAACTTGCACCTTATGACCATAATCGACAGAAACGTTTTTCAATGCACTAACGCGGTAGATCATATTTATGAGGGACCCCGCGTATCACCCATTAATTAAAAAACTGTTTTCGACCTGGAACGAATCCGGATTCTCGAGACGCCAGAGTAGAAGCCTAATGTTTTATCGACTATTTGTTCTTCAGACTATCCTCCAGGTGTTACTTATACAGTAACGGACAAGTGACGTAATTTCGATTATTACTTTTATTTTTAAATAGCAGTCCCGAAAAGTATACGAGTTTAACAGGTTACTGAATAATAACCCAACACTAGCCGGTCAATTCGTCATAGGTGACACGAGAATGCTAAAAGAGGAAGACGAAAAGGGCGGGAGACCACGAGTAAGACAATTGTGGTACTGAACCATTACCACAGAACTGTTTTCGACAAACGCCATAACTCTTACACACTGTGTATTGGTACATTGATAAACGTTGCTTCTGCTAATTATTGTGACGAGGTGCATTTCTCCACGAATTTACGTGATCAGAGACACTAAGTCAAATCCTACAACAAATTAGACAACATAAAAGCTTTTACTACATCACAATACAATTGTGAAATAGAATCGATTTCAAGAACTTGACAGAAAATAACGACAGGGAAATTCGACTCTGAGTTCGAACGATGCTTCTATGTTCGAACTCCGAGTCGAATTTCCCTGGAATTTAGTGTTCGAACTCTGAAACGTTCCAAGTACGAGAAACCCAGCGGCTTCTCGTACTTCGAACAGTATGGAGTTTTTGAAATCGATTTGACTGTACCCGCAAACTCCAAACAAGGAATAATAAACATATGTCAGCAAGAAAGGTGTATTGATGATTTATTAGATGTTTAAAGCTGAGTTGAATGTTTATTTACCAAACAAGTAAGTCGGTGAGAGTAAACTGTGTTCGTTAAAACAAATCGAGACATTAATCGTAGTAAATTATGTCGTAGCATTAAGTCAATTGTAGATATTTTCTGTTATTCATAATATTTGTTGAAAATTCTAGAATTAGAAAGTGGACTAAAAGCTTTTCCACTGATTTTGCCAGACATTTTTTTTGTATGGAAGGATTTAAAATTTTGGCGCATCTAATTATATCATTAATATAATTATTGATCGACAGTTCATTTAATTCAATCAGCGTTGGCTTAATTATCATCTCGAGGACTCCCGCAAAATTTTTAAGGCTTATCAACCTAAGAAAAAATATTCAAGCTTCGTACTCACGTGGATAAGGGGCCAAATATCTGAAAAATGGCATAAATAAGACTGGCGAGAAAGAAAATATAACCTATTTATAATCATTAATGTAATCTAAGCAACATACTAAAGCGAATATCGCAAATGTTGTCGAATTACTGTCATTATTTGGCTAATATTTTTATCGATACTTACACAATTTGGTATTAACGGCAAATGTGTCTCCATCTGTTGTCGACATTCATGAAAAATTAGTCGTATCAATAACAGTTATACGTTAAAATTTGTAGAAACTAAAATTGCAAAATTCTTCAAATAAATAATGAATAATCCTTTTACAAAATATTTCACTTCCTAATAAATTTATAAATGAGTATAATAACTTATATATTAATAATTCATTAACTAACTTTACTGGTAGATGGCGAAACCTTACACTATAACTGACAAGGTCTATAACACCAATGTTCTTAAGGACCGCCATATTGGGTCCTCAATTTCAAGGTCACGGTATAGATTTCGTGCTACGTACTGTACGTGCAGTTTACTCAAGTTCCTTCGGGTTGGAGCCACAGAATTCCTTTTATAATTTCAAATAGAGTATATTTTCACTCAGAGGTTACTCTGACATAATTAAATGCTTTAACTAAATAGGTTTCATAATAAAAAGTTGTCGATGGTTCCTATGGCACGGTACGAGGATAACTTTATTTAGTTTTGAAATGTAAAATTAGAGATGAAGTTTTGAGATATTTCTTAAAATAAGAATATATGTATTTAGTTTTCTACATTCACGTGCATTTTTACATTACACAAACTGCAATTAACTCTTGCTGAGCGAGAGGTGGTCTTCGTTTTTGGAAGAAAGTTACTGCGCTACCAGAAAATGACTATAGACAACTGATATATATTAAACTCTTATCGTCCAACAAAACAGTATCAAACGAAATATTTCCCACTACTATTAATTAAGAATTTGCTAAATAACCTTGGATTTGTTGGATTATTCTGTTGATAGAGCTTTCTTAATTAACAGACTGCAAACAAAGGCTAAGAGATATATACTGGCGAAAAGATGTTTATTTGCGAGAGAAGGATTTTACTGTAAAAATCCCAGATAATATTCACTCGATTCCTTGGAATCCTTCGTTTTACTTATGTCTAACATAAATTATAAATTCAGATCACTTGATTCAAATTCGTCTAAATAAATATACAATTACTCTAAATGGCAAAAGAATTAACATATCGAATAATGCTAAATGTTCGTTTTGTAAAATGCGGCGGCGACGATGGTAAATCACTTGTTCACGTGTTGCGAGTCTCTTTGTGAAATAAGATCAAATCTTTTTGGGATTGATTATAATTATACCAATTTATTAGAAGAATCTTCCAGTAAAACCATGTTATATAAACTGTACAAGTTTTTTGTACACTTACTAAAACTTTTGTATTAACAATTTTATTTATCCCCTTGTAAAAACAATTTGCTACATTAATGAACATTGTTATTAATATTAATAAAAGAAGGCAATGAAATAAGGCCAATAGTGGAAAAACGGAAAGCCCCTACATTTTTCTTGGAAAAAAAGATTACACGATTGTCGTCTGGAAAAAAAGATACACGATTATCTTTTCCTTACTGGACAGTAGTGTGCTAGTTGCAAAAGATCCCGCAATAGTTGTTAAAGAATTACAAGATATAACTTTGATGGATGAGGAAATTAGAACAACATTAGACTACGAGAGTTTATACCCCTCCATTAAGATTGAGTCCTGTTTGGAAGCGCTCTTGGGATTCTTGTTTAAAATAAACCCAGAGTTAGCACACCAAAGAAACGAAGTTTTAGAGATGGCTAACCTTGTATGCTGTGAATCCTTCCTTGGCTTTGAAGGCCAAACATACAAACAGAATATGGGAGTTCCTATGGGAAGCCCAATTTCGGGGCTCCTATGTGAAATGGTAATTAGAAAAGTTGAAGAAAAAGTTGCACATAGCTTCAGGAGTAATATTGTTTACTACATGAGATATGTTGATGACATTTTTATAATATGGAAAAACAATAGAGGAATTAGTAACTTTATAGAAAGTATCAACAACAACGAAGATGGCCTAAATCTGAAGCTAGAACAAAAAAGTTCCATAGTTATACATTTCTTAGACATCAATATCGTCTTTAAGAATAGGCATATATCCACCAATGTGTATACCAAACCTACACATAGCCCACTCGATATCCCCGCACATTCTAATGATCCATTTTGTTATAAATTGGCTGCATTTCGTGCCTTAGTTATAAGGGCCTTTTTATATTGCGGCAATATTATGGACAGAGACAAAGAAATCGACAGGATTAAACGGATGGCAGAATCCTTAGGCTACAGGAAAAACATAATTGCCGGCATTGTTAAAAACTTTGAGATAAAAGATACAAAGACCTAGTAAATACATAAAATTCACCTACAACAAAAATGTAAGAAGCGTTATGAAGGAGATTGCCGACATAAAAGAATCAACGATGATTTTAAAACGAGCTCTTAATTTATTTAAAATTTTAAGAAACGATAAAGGGGATATTAAAAAAGAAGATAAAGCAGGAGTTTATAAGATCCCGTACGAGAACCAACAATTAGGATTAAAAAAGGAGTACATAGGAGTTACAACGAGGAAATTGGGGGTAAGGGTCAGAGAGCATAAATATGATGTTAGGAAAAAATCAAACNGTTACATTATGTTATGTAAGTTAAGTTTTAGTATCATTTCCCTTCTCCCTCTCTTCCGCCACCAATTTACACCTCCACCGTCGTCTATCCTCAAAGGTAAAGTGCAAATAAAACTACATTTTTTTTATCAATTATTATTCTATTATGGTTATTTATACATTTACAACTACAAATTGCATTTTTCAGTGTTTTCCTTACTATAGTTATTTTTTTAATACTTACTACTTATTTTTTTACTACTTAGCTTTAATTTGAGTGTGTTTTTTGTGTTGAAACAAATTATTTGGTTTTACACATAATCATATGGGGAAAATGATTCACCTTACAACATTTTCATAATAAAATTTCAGTTTCAGGACAGATTAATTTCGTATCCCGAGGTATCACTGTAATTGGTGTTCATATTGTATTATGTTTGCTACTTGATTATGTCTGTGTAAGTAATCTGTCTGTGCCAAGAGCTTGCAACCAGAAGTGATGTGTTGTATAGTATCTGGCATGATGTGACATTTTCTGCATGTGTCATTTATGAGTGTTGTATCTTTGAGTGTGTTTTTTGTAGTTTTTAGTATTTATGACCTGATCCTGTATGGCAATCATAAATTCTTCCATCTCCCCAAAGAGGCATCCCTGATCTAACCAGCTGTTTGACACAGTTTTGTCAACAAAATCCTGAGCCAGGTCATAAGGATGACTGCCATGGAGTGCCTTTTGAGCCCACGATTGCTTGATGGTGTCTATGCTTTTTGTGTGTTGTGTCATGTCTGTATGATGTGAGTGTAAGTTTAATGGTGTGTTATTTGAGTCTGCTAGAGTTACTGCTTTATGTAACTGTGATGTTTCTTGTGTCCTGTAGAAAAACTCTCGCAGTGATTTGTTTGTAGTGAAGGTTAACTATGTCAATCAGGCCACGTCCGCCATTTTTACATGGAAGGGTTAATCTTTCTATGGCAGATTTAGGATGATGTTGTTTATGCTTAGTAAGTGTTGTTCGTTTTCCTTTGGAGTTGCTCAAGATCTGTGTGAGTCCAATGTATAACTCCAAAGGAGTATGTGAGTACTGAGATGACATATGTGTTTATTGCTTTAACCTATTTGATATTGAAATTTTTATTTGTTGCCTGCGACGCCATGTTGAATTTTCATCGATGTTAAGCCTAAATTTTTTTTAAAATAATAATTGTGTTTACACACCAACTGAATGCCGAAAATGTTGGTTGGTGGTTGTTGGAAATGTTGCAGTTGGTGTGTAGCTATATTATATCGGGTTTAGCGATGTTTGTATATATTACGCTTTGCCGGGGCTTGCGATGGCCGGTTGAGTGCCTTATAGGACGTAGGACGTGGGCACTGAATGTGTCCCCAGCCGGCGTTGTAATAACCGTCGATGGTTACATAGTTAGCTTCTATATGCTGGAAGAGATNAAAATGGAAATTTACAGAAGCAAACTTGATGATAGATGTATAAACGCCAGAGATGCAGAGGGCCTACCCTCAGCATGGAAGTTTGCTATTAAAAGACTTACAAATGGCTTATGAATGACGACTTGATTCGCAATTCACGTTATGAGATCATTTATAATTTTTGTTAACTGTTAACGACTTGCACTATTACTTATTTATTGTTGTGTGTTATTTATTTTTACAATTGGTATTTTTACACTTTATTTATCTTACTTATTTACTCAGTTGTCGATATTTTTGAATTTTAAATTTAATGTTCTATTCTTTGTGGTTATTCCATATTCGTTTTTTTCAACTTGAAGATGATCTATGAAGTAGATCGAAAACGTTCGATTTTTAAATAAACTCCCTCGGCAACGGATTAGGTGTTGATTATTTTGATTATTAATTTGCCGAGTACGTTTTATGTTCAATGTGGGTTTACCCGCATCCGAACGTCATTGTGACTACAGCTCTACAGTTTCTGATAAACTTTTCGATCGCTTGACGCAATCTCTTCTCGTAATTCCGCCATAGATTATTGAAAAACTATTCCGTGCCTCTTAAATTTATCTCGTTGTACGATTTCATTACAATCGCGGAATCGAAAAAGAAAGTAAAACTGATTTTTGCATTAATGCATTTATTGTTTTTTGAATATTTTGCCTGCGAAAATTACTTGGATATTATTTTTCTAAAAATATCGTGGAAATAACATAGGTTGATACAGAAACTATTCATCGCGCATGTACTGTAAATGAGCTTCAAAATAAATAAATAAAAATAGATTTTATCAAGCCCACCAGTGGCCGAGTGGTCTTCGTACCCTAANCTTCTTTGAGGGAATGGCGTGAGTTATGTCACAGCCTTGCTTAAAAGTTTCACTGCTAAATTTCCCTCTTATCTCTTTATTCTGTTCATAAAGTTTATGAAGTAATTCTTCTTTCCCTTCGGTATTTGGAACATTTAGCAGGATTAGTTTGGGGTTCCTTTTCTTTGGTTTTGTAATTTTCACTTTGTCGTTCATCTCCGGTAGCTCCTCTATAGCATTCTTTAAATTGTCAACGTCTTGCTCCGTTTTTACACGGAACTTTAGATTTCCACTCGGAAGAGAGTGGACACTACGTATGCCTATGTTCAGACCCGTAGGGTCGATTTTCTCGGTGATAGTTTCCATGACTTCCTCTGGTTGGAGTTTCATCCCGTCAGCTGATTCAACGGGCTCGATTATTAACTCCTGGGACCCCTTTTGTGAGGCGTTGGAGGACACTATGTCTGTGATTAAGTTGGTAGTTCGGCTGCCACCAGACCGCCTACCCTGCACGACCTCCGCATAGCTCGCATTAGGTTTGACCCCACGTGACCTCATGGCTAACACCATCCCAAACAGTTTGTTGGCAGCGGCGTGCATGTCCATGGCCGCTTGCCTCACAGCTTTCCTTCTCTTGGTGGTAACCGAACCATGAGACTTGGCCGGGATGGCCGCCATAATCTCTTCCAAACTGGAGTTAATAAGTTCGAGAAGGCTCTTTTCTGGTTCATCCATGTTAAAAGCACAAATAATAAGAACAAAGTTAACCCGACAATAGTAAATACACCGAAAAACAAGACACGCGACCACGCAAGCCCGAGGCCGAACGGCTAACAACAGTACCACGTGGCGCAAATCAGTTCTTTGTTAACGGCAAAAACTTTAAGTAAAATTATCTTGAAAACCGTTAAAGATAACTTAACAAAANCTCTGCCTAACCCACGAACACAGACCTTGTTAACCCGAGCAACGTCCGAGCCGGTATCATACTTAGATCTTACTACCATGATAAATATCTCCACAGAATGTGGGTGTGTGGTCACTCTTAGCTTCATTTCTCCCCATAGACCTTACTGGCATGGGTGTCCCTACCAGGAGCTTGTGCTCCACCTGCATTGCTCTATGGTTCAGTAAAATTACTGGGCTCTCCCACCCCACACGACCTGGTGGTGACCATGGGAGAGTTATTATTATTACTACTTTGTATTGTTTTTAACAGATATATTATTCTGCACTAAATCATTACAAAAGTAAGATTACAAAAATCATACTCCTAGAACCTATTTCCGGTGTAACGAAAAAAACAAAAGAAAAAGTTCACCTCAAATGTTTTCGAACTGCTGCGAGTTCTTCCTCAGGTGAAAAGGGAGTTTCAGATGGAATGGAGTGATCGGTTAAGGATATATGTGAAAAAATAAACGAAAGTATAATACAAGTTGCACATGCGTGCCTGTAGGGTAACCAGATCTTAGCAATTACAGTTCAGAGTCCATCAACACCTGCCAAGCTATAGACAAAACTAACTCATCTTTAAAATTGATACATGAATTATTAAGGGTCAATTTATAAATTTTTTCTTTTGTTTTTTCATCACACCAGAAATAGGTTCTAGGTGTACGATTTTTGTAACACAGCCTGGTGTTATTGTTGTTGTTGATTTCATTAAGATTACGTTTGTGCAGTGCTGAACTGTAATTGATTAATTGTAATATTATGTCATTTGCCCATACATACAGGATTTCCTTATAACTACNGGCTAACAACAGTACCACGTGGCGCAAATCAGTTCTTTGTTAACGGCAAAAACTTTAAGTAAAATTATCTTGAAAACCGTTAAAGATAACTTAACAAAATCTTTACACGACAAAAAGAACAACAAAAGACGTCGGAAAACGACAAATATAATAACGGATGGCTCGTATAAAGCCCGAATAACCCGAACAATACACAAAGTGCTGACGACCGTAACACAAAATCTACCGAACGAAAAAGGAAAATGTTTACACTTACAGAGTCCTTTCTTAATGCCCTGTCCAACGGTATCTAAATTTCAGCAATAAACACAAAAATACCGAAGTTACCGCGAACTGAAAACGGAGCGCAGAACTACCCTGTACACCTAGTCTCTCCCCTTCCGAGGGAAAAAAAACCTATCGTGTACCCCTAGGGGTACGCGTACCACAGGTTGGGAATCGCTGCTTTAGCAGATGTTTAGGTCATAGGTGTCCCTGGGACCATAATAAAGTGAAGAAATTGAACGATAACTGTAAACTTATGTCTTGCAATATTAGCTTGACAATGTTTGGATGGGTAACTGTTTACATTCTTAAAGGAAGGTTATAAATTTCTATAGTTGTTGATGGGATATTCGATTTTCTTTCCCTGGTGATTGTTGTTTTAACGAGTCAGAAAGGAGGGAAAAAAATGTTTCTAAAATCCGGATCTCACAAAATAGTAGCTAAAAATTTCACAATATAATTTAAAATTAACATTTATCTTAATTTTTGTGACATTTGTTTTTAAAATAATTCTCTTTATGTTTAGGTATTTGCACATTCAATGATTTAGACATGTTTCTTCACATGAACAATGCTCGTTATATAAGAGAATTCGAATTTGCTCGATCACTTAGTGGAATGGCATCAGGTGTCTGGTCAGCAATCAATAAATTAGGAGGTGGAGCAGTACTGAGTGCTGTTTCTGTTCGCTACAGAAGGAGCATAGGATTGTTTCAAATTTTTCGTGTAAGGACAAAGGTAAAGAATTATTTTTTTATTTCTTAATACAGGGTGTATCAAAAAGAATGACCTGATTTTAAAACTATATTTGTTGATAGAAAGATACTACAAAACAGGGACAAAATGCAAATTACAAAATCTTAAAGTTTCAGCTATGTTATTACAAATACTCTGTATCCACCAATAGCCACACAGACAACATGTAGACCAGTGGTTCTCAACCTGGGGGTCGAAAGATCCTTTCACAGATGTTTTCAGATGCCTAAGACCATCTGAAAACATACATTTTTGAGGTCTTAGGAACCGAGACACTGTTCCTTGGATTTCGATCTGGATTTCAACATTTGGTACTAAATGAGTCACCAAAAGTCATGGGAACTCGCTGTATGATTCATTGGCAAATATTAGCAATGAGTCGCTGCCACAAGAGTTACGAGAAGTAATGAAAAGCGTCATAAGTTCTGTTAATTTTGTAAAGGCAAGCACTTTAAACAGTCAACTGTTTTTGCAATTGTGCAACGAGTTGGATCCGCCAAATAATACTGTGCTATTTCACACTGAAGTGAGATGGTTGTTGAGAAGAAAAGTTTTAAAATGTGTTTTTGAGCTTCTTGATGAACTCAAAATGTTTTTTAATCAGAAAGCAAGACTGCAGTTTGAAGCACTTTTCAGCAATAAAAGTGAACTGCAGAAAATAGCTCACTAGTGTAGCGAGGGGAGCAAGGGGTTCTATCATGCCCCGAGCGCCACTCGCAGAGGGGCGCCAAATGGCCTCCAATACAAACAAAATTTGTTTCTGGAGGGGTGAGGGGAGCATCAATAAAGTGTCATGCCCTGGGCACCAGTTATGTTCGCTATGCCACTGAAATAGCTTACTTGGTTGACATCTTTGCCATCTTAAATGAGTTAAATTTATCACTGCAAGGACCAAATTCAAAATGTCACGATTAGTCTGAAAAGATCCGATCATTCCAAATGAAACTTCAGTTTTGGCAAAAAAATATTGGATGAAAATAAAATTTACATGTTACCTACATTATCTGCTTTCTTTGAGGAACATGACATTGAATCAGACAAAAGGATTACGATGATAATTTCTGTGAGAGAACACTTGCACATGCTTACAGACGAAATTTCATCGTACTTCCAAATTTACCTGACACCTCATTTGCACTTGCCAGAATCCCATTCACAGTCAAAGTTGAAGATATTCCTGAGACAGCACAAGAGGCGTTCATTGAACTTATTAACAGCAATGCAGCGAGAACTGATTTCTCTACAATGCTAGTTACAAAATTCTGGATCAAGTGTTTGCAGTCGTATCGTGTTCTGTCTGAGACTGTGTTACACCTTCTTCCATTTCCAACAACATATCTTTGTGAAACAGGATTTTCCTACTTGTTGGTTTCATGTCTAAATACAGAAGTGGACTTGTTGTGGAAAATGATCTTCGTTGTGCTCTTGCAAAGACTTCCCTGAGAATTTCTGATCTGGTGAGAAAGAAGCAATCTCAACCTTTGCATTAACATTGGCGTTTACTCAATCTGTCGCAAAATGTAGCAATGTAGTTTACTGTCTTTATATTAAGACTGTTACCCATGCTACACCATGCTTCAAGGCAAAATTTCATTTATTTGTAATTAGAAATAAATATTTCACAATATATAATTACATATTGTTTTTGTGAATAATCACTATGCTTTAATTATGTTCAATTTGTAACAATGAAAATACATCCTGCATAAATACTCTCATCTATACACACTGTAAAATATATGATTTACTTCTGACTCGAAACCAAAACAGTGCTTATTTCAAAATACCTTCACTAACGTTTTCAAACTTAGTTCTTCTTCAGGTGAATAAACGATGGGCAGAATCGATGTTATTCAAACATATCTGTTTAATACGAATTCTGAAACGCAGTGTTCTAAGGAAACTCGTGCAATCATCGTCTTAAACTTGCGCATGCTCTGTAGATAGAAGGATCGCTTTTGGCTTCTCATGTATAATAAATAAGAGTTTGCCATGCTACCAATAAGGATAGTTCATCCTTATTGTTTATACACTTATCTTCTCTTGCTGTTTTATAGATATATATTGCTTCCATCCAGTGCAAATGGTGTAGTTGCTATGTGGTGTAAATTATTTTTGCTTCCTCAAATAATGCTTGTATATCAGGGTCCGTGGCATATTGTGCTAATGCTGTAGTATGTCTTTTATGTAGGATGTCTGCTTTAAGTTCTTTGATCCTCATCTCCCTCCAACAATCTTTTTGTGGATCCCACATATACTAAGTCTTTATCCCACCTATGATCTTTTATAGGGATCCTGCATACGCCTGCTAATTTGTTGTGATGTGGAGTATCTTTTGCATTATTTAGCATATTAAATATAGTGGGACATCTTCTAAATATTAAGGAGGTTTGTTTTCTTTTGGCGATTTCTTTGTAGATTTTCTCTAAGTACGAATTGTAAGTAATCAGGATTCTGTCTTTCTGAATGTTACTTTGTTGCCCTTGTAGTTCTGTTTGTTCTGTTCTTCGAAATGCAGCACTTTTCGACCCTCGTGGCTATCCTACTATTATATCCGTGTGTTTTGGCCAAATTATTAATGGTGTTGATCTCTGTATCAAGTGCCTGCGTTGTCGATGATTGGGTGTATGCTCTTTTCACCAAGCTATTAAATGCTTCTATCTTATACTGCCACGGGTCACGCGAATGCGCAGGGATATACAATTGATCTGCCTGTGGTTTTCTGTATACCTCTGTGATGATGGACCTTCCTTTAACTATGATGTTCATAAACATCTCCAAACCCGATATCCAATATAGTAACACACCAACCGAATGCCGAAAATCAATCGGGCTATATTAATGCTAATTACTAAATATTTAGTAATTAGCATTAATATAGCCCGATTGATTACTATGATGTTCATGTCGAGAAAATGAACTAGTTTGCCGCTCTCCTGTTCGAGGCCCAGAGTCAATCCATACGAGTTGTTATTAAATACCGCTATGACTGCCGTCATGTCCGGTTTAGATTTCCATAGTATTAGTATATCATCCACATATCTCTTGTATGTAATAATATTGTGGAGTAGGTCAGGCAGTACTTTCTGTTCTAGGAGTCTAATTACCAGTTTGCATAGATCTCCTGCTACAGGGCTCCCCATTGGTACCTCTCTTTTTTGTTGATATACATTGTCTTTGAATTGAAAGAAAGAATTGTAGCACAATAGATGCGCTAACTCTAGTATATCTTGATGGTGGTTACTGTCCCCTATTATATTTATTAGCGAATCTCTTAATGCACAGAAGGCTGGTGGAAGGAGTAAAGAAGGTTATAAGGATTTAAAATCCAGCACAGTGAGGTACTGTGGGGGGTATTAAAGTACATTGATCTCACTCAATGTGAGAAAAGCGACAGTAACATAGTTGAAAAACTACATGCTAGAATAAAGAGATTCTCCAACAGCAAGTTAGCGAAGAGGTTAGATATTAAGAACGTTGTTGTAGACTCTCCCGACACACCCAAATTATTTGAATTTGCTAAAACGCACAAAGAAGGCAGACAGATTTGTCCTGTAATAGATAAGATTCGGGCTCCAACACGCAAACTAGAAGAGAGAATGCACGATATAATAGCACCACATTTAGAAGAATACCAGTTCAATATAATCAATAGTGTTGACCTCATAACTCTACTCAAGCAGGTTAATACCCCCCACAGTACCTCACTGTGCTGGATTTTAAATCCTTATAACCTTCTTTACTCCTTCCACCAGCCTTCTGTGCATTAAGAGATTCGCTAATAAATATAATAGGGGACAGTAACCACCATCAAGATATACTAGAGTTAGCGCATCTATTGTGCTACAATTCTTTCTTTCAATTCAAAGACAATGTATATCAACAAAAAAGAGAGGTACCAATGGGGAGCCCTGTAGCAGGAGATCTATGCAAACTGGTAATTAGACTCCTAGAACAGAAAGTACTGCCTGACCTACTCCACAATATTATTACATACAAGAGATATGTGGATGATATACTAATACTATGGAAATCTAAACCGGACATGACGGCAGTCATAGCGGTATTTAATAACAACTCGTATGGATTGACTCTGGGCCTCGAACAGGAGAGCGGCAAACTAGTTCATTTTCTCGACATGAACATCATAGTAATCAATCGGGCTATATTAATGCTAATTACTAAATATTTAGTAATTAGCATTAATATAGCCCGATTGATTTTCGGCATTCGGTTGGTGTGTTACTATATTGGATATCGGGTTTGGAGATGTTTATGAACATCATAGTTAAAGGAAGGTCCATCATCACAGAGGTATACAGAAAACCACAGGCAGATCAATTGTATATCCCTGCGCATTCGCGTGACCCGTGGCAGTATAAGATAGAAGCATTTAATAGCTTGGTGAAAAGAGCATACACCCAATCATCGACAACGCAGGCACTTGATACAGAGATCAACACCATTAATAATTTGGCCAAAACACACGGATATAATAGTAGGATAGCCACGAGGGTCGAAAAGTGCTGCATTTCGAAGAACAGAACAAACAGAACTACAAGGGCAACAAAGTAACATTCAGAAAGACAGAATCCTGATTACTTACAATTCGTACTTAGAGAAAATCTACAAAGAAATCGCCAAAAGAAAACAAACCTCCTTAATATTTAGAAGATGTCCCACTATATTTAATATGCTAAATAATGCAAAAGATACTCCACATCACAACAAATTAGCAGGCGTATGCAGGATCCCTATAAAAGATCATAGGTGGGATAAAGACTTAGTATATGTGGGATCCACAAAAAGATTGTTGGAGGGAGATGAGGATCAAAGAACTTAAAGCAGACATCCTACATAAAAGACATACTACAGCATTAGCACAATATGCCACGGACCCTGATATACAAGCATTATTTGAGGAAGCAAAAATAATTTACACCACATAGCAACTACACCATTTGCACTGGATGGAAGCAATA